GAGCCTCCGGTGGTTTCTTGAACGCTTTCCCCTTTTGTTTTTCTCTCCTTGGCATTTTCACCCTCCCGCATACTATTCCCCAACTAGAACTCCACGCGGGCAAGGATTTTCGTCTTGTGTTGCTCACTGGTGGCTCCAGAGCCTGGAAAGGCCTGACACCTAGCAGGCGCTTTGTGAACGTGTGCAGCAGAGCCCACGATGCCCAGCGGGCACAGGGAGCGGTGCCCCTGAGCCATGAGCGCCGAAAACTGCACGACAGGCAAACTTAAACTGTGCTCGGAGGGGCGGGGTCTTTCCGACGCCCAGGCCTTGGGGGCGGGACCAGTATGGAGGTGGGGCCTGCCTGAGGCAGGCCAATCTGAAGGAAGGGCCTGGTCGAGGGCGTGGTCAACGCAGGAGGCCGGTAAAATAAGGGGAGGGGCTAGAATTAGGGCGGAGTCAGTTCGCAGCTGGCCCAGGCTGGGGCGGGACCATTGAGGGAGGTGGTGGTGGAGCAGGACATATATGGGCGGGGCCATGGCAAGGGCGTGGGCGGGGCCCCTGGGGGCGGGGCCAGGCTAGGATCTCCGCTGTCCCGGGTCCTGGAGCGCTCCGGGCCCCGCAAGGCTCGCTCCCGCCCCTCCGGCGCCTCCCGGGGTGGCCAGGCCTGAGTGTGCAGGGCGGGACTCCCCAAGCTGGGCGGCAGAGATCGGGCCCCGCCCCAGGCTCTGCGCTCCAGGCCAGGCGGCGACCTCGGCTTCCGAGCCGGTAGGGAGCTCAGGGCCGGGCCCTCAGGCTGCGTCCCCGGAGGCTTCCCGCGGGCAAGGGTGAGCAGGGCTCTAGGGGCTCGTGTGTGTGCGTGTGTGAATGCTCTATGTGTGTGCATGTGAACCTCTGTGAGCCCCGGGAACTGTATGTGTGCGTGGAGTTGGGCAGGTGTGTTCTCCCAGGAGCTGGGTGTGTGTGTAGTTGTGGGCGTGTGCAAAGGAGGTCCCGTGTGGGAGGGGAGCCTGCATATATGTGTGTGTGTGTGTGTGACAGAGACAGTGCCTGTGGAATTCGGTGGAGGCCGTGGGTGTATGTCAGGGTGTCTTGGAGAAAAGTGGGAGGGCAGGTGCAGGGATACTTTGGGAGACTCCCAGTCAGGATGCATGTGGCAAGCAGCGGGTACATGGTGAAGGAAACAGTGGGAGTGTAAGAATTGCAAATGCGTGTTCATGGGGGTGGCAGTGAGACTTCTGGGGGCCCTCAGTGTGAAGGGATGGGGATGGAGGAAAATTTGTGGTTGCTGATTGTTCCTTGAAGAGCGAGTGTGGTCTGGGGCAGAGTGTAACCAGCTGGACAGGTGTTTGGGGCCTGACTTGGAGTAATTTGGGGATTAGATCAGCTTTCTCACTTACAGGGCTGGGAGATGTGTGGGTGGGGCTGGTGGCCTGGGCCTACCCCTCCCACTAGTGAGCAGTGTCCCTGCCGCTTGTGGAGAAAGTTGCCACTTCACCGGTCACCCCTCATCTCAGGCTCTGTGCTCACCCCGGCTTGGTGACTTCTGTTGGCTCTCCAGTGTGAACATGGTGCAGAAGTATCAATCTCCTGTCCGTGTCTACAAGTACCCATTTGAGCTCGTCATGGCGGTGAGTGACCCCTGATTCTTGGGTGCTTCATGTGACAGTTGGAGGGATTCTGGAGGTCCACTATAAGAGGAGGAAGAGGAAGCCCCTTGGACCCCCAGATCAGGAGTTTGTGAGCTACTCAGCAGATCTAATGGGTCAGACTTCTAACCAGTGAACCCTTTGCTCAACCATCCCTTCCCAACCACCTTTTGCCAGAAATTCCGGAGCCCCTGCCCTGAGACCAAAACCCAAGGTTGTTCCTTCTCCTTGTTGAAGCTTGTCTCTCCTCTCTCAACTTAGCCGCTCCTGACGGAAAACAAGGATATCTGGGGCCACTGCACTGCTGTCATTTTGTGTAATGATAATAATAATGGTAACTGGATGACGATGGTGACAGCAGCTGCTCACTGGATGTTCACAGTGCTGTCTTTACATACAATGTTTCTTTTAACTCCCCATAGCTCTCATAGTTCCCAATTTTCCTCCACTAAACTGAGGCTTGGAAAGGTAGAGGGATGACACCAAGTTCTGTAACTAGGAAGAGGTGGGCTCAGGGCTCAGATCCATGCAGAGGGGACTCCAGAGCCTCAATTTTTACTGCAACCCCCCCATGGTCCTTCTTCTGCTCACAGACCCCCCCATCCCAATTTCCTCCCCTTTAAGGAAGCTGAGACCAGAAGGAGAGAGGGGGTGGCATATTTATGTCATGTAGCAAATCAGTTTGGGATTAGATTGTCTCTCAGGGTTTTGGCCTCCTGGATTCATGGTCTGTGTATCAAAGCACAGCTGGTAGAGGAAGGCAGAAGTGAAATTCCAGCTCACCTCCATGGTCAAGGCAGGGTAGTGCTATGGGGCTGTGGTGAGGAGTAAATGAAATAATTCATGATACCCCTGGCTGTGTGCTAGGCACACAGTAGGAGCTCACAAAATGTGACTGTTCTTGTTACTATGCCATGTAGTCTTATAAATGGTTGTGTAATAAACACCAGAGTTGACCCCATCCTCTCCACCCCAACCCTGCTCAACTCCAGCCTTCTACCCAAGGACTTGTATATCCGCTGGTGGCTCTGCATGCGTGGGTCCTGTCCTATGAATTCATACGCATATGTGTTTGCAGTTGTGCAATGGGTTAAAAAGCATCACTGAAGTCGTCCTTGTACGTTGTGCTGTTGTGTGCAGATGGTCCTAGGAGAGCAGAGAGGCAGGAGTCAGTCTGGGGTTATATCCTAGCTCCACAGCTGGGTGACTTTGGAGCAAGATGCTTAACCTCTGTGAATGTCCACTCTTAATGAGAGTCTCTTGGTCTCCAAAATCCTGATGTTGTGCTGTGGATTAAATGAATCAATATATGTAAAGCAGATCAGATGCTCAGTGAGGTTTAGTTATTACTGTTATTATTTTACCTGAGGCTGTGTGACTTTACTTCTTTGTAATGGGGGTGGGACACCCTGGGGTGATGAAAAGACCCAAGATTATGGAGTCAGAAGTTTTGGGTCCCTGCTGCTGCTCTGCTGTGCTCTGGGTGTGTGTCTTTGGCGGGTTGCTGAACTTCTCTGAGCCTTAGTTTTTTCATTTGTGAATTGGGGATGATTATATGCATCTTATAAGGTTGTCATGAGGTTTAAAATTATGACCATGTGTGCATCCTTACCTAGCAGTGGAAGATAATTATAAGTAATCATCCTCAGATTAAGGCTCCTGGCAGCTCACATATTCTAAGACTCAAAGACTTATTAATTGATTGAGTAGGAGAGTAGAAGAGAGACTGTCCCCACACTTCTGGGACAGTCTAGGGACTCTTGGTTCTCTACCATGAAGCTGAGGTACATAACTATAAAATGGGAAACCAGTGATTTCATGGGCTTAATACATTTCAAAATTTATTAAGGGGGGGTTCTCAAAAATATTTGCAATTACTACACTTTAAAATAAAACATGCCTATCAATGTGGCACTTAAGGCTATGTTAATAGAGCTGGTAACTTACTTGCATTGCCTTTATTGGGATATGTTAAATGCATTTTGTAAGCTTCATGTTGTCTAAAGGAAGGCAGGACTTGTCTGCTGCCTTAGCTGTTAACGATCTCTAGGTATTGATGTACAGATGCTTGTGGGTAGAGGGGGAAAAAAGACTTTCAGATATCTATCTGTTAATTCAAGTCATTCATATTTTTCAAAGGGATTGCCATTGTTGTCATCTTATCTTCCATACAGTCCTGGTCTGTCAAATGGTCCCAAGCCACAACGGCCACTGACAAAGCTACTTTGCTGACAGTTTACAAAACATTATTGTCCCCAAAATAGCTGCATAACTCAACATAACTTGTGTGCTGTGTAGGCACAAAAGGGGTTTTCTGTACTTAATGTCCGTCTTTGTTTCTCAGCTAACACTTGCCCTCAGTGTGGGTCAGATGCTGGGGAAGTTTTGGATGAACTCAGCTATTTTCACCGCAACCGAATGACCACAGGAGCTGGCCTCTTGGTTTTTCTGTTCAACAAAACCGACTTGAGAGTGAGAGTGCCACTTGCTTCTTCAGAAGTCCACCAGGGATCACTCAAAGGACTGAAATTGGGCTTGCGAAATTGATTATAAAATAGTAACCTTTCTAGACACAACTTAAAAATTTTTAAATTATTTTTTCTCTTTCACTTTGAAAATGTATCTAATCAAATGAATGAGCATCCCTCTCCAAATCCCTTCATGTGAATTCTGCTTCTTTTTTTTTTTTTTTGTTTTGTTTTTTTTTTGTTTTTGAGACAGAGACTCAAGCTGTCCCCCTGGGCAGAGTGCCGTGGCATTACAGCTCACAGCAACCTCCAACTCCTGGGCTCAAGCGAGTCTCCTGCCTCTGCCTCCCAAGTAGCTGGGACCACAGGCGCCCGCCACAACGCCCGGCTATTTTTTGGTTGCAGCCATCATTGTTGTTTGGCGGGTCTGGGCTGGGGATTCGAACCCGCCACCTTAGGTGTACATGGCTGGCGCCTTAGCCGGTTGAGCTATAGGCGCCGAGCCGTGAATTCTGCTTCTAAAGATTTCAGAGGCTCTTTGCTTTCTTCTTTTTTGATAGCGCTTTGTATCATTTGGTTCTAAACAGTGAGTTTGTTTTATCTTGGTAAACAGAGAAAAATAATTAAGACAATGGAGGCAGCTTCAGTGGCAGTATCCAAGGTTGGAGAAGGTCCTTGGTTCCTTTGAGTGGACCTGGGTCCCAGAAGGTAGGGAGGTGTCTTTGTGGAGATCCCTGTATAGAGGACACAAAGGCCATGTCTTGGATTGTGGGGTCAGCTCACTTGAGTCCTGAAGGCATGCTCTGGTCAGCCCACTGAGAGTTGATTCTGGATTAGCTGTCTCTTTTTCCAAATGTCTGGTAGTTAAGAGTCAGACCTACCAGGAAGGTCTGTGCTCCAGACCTGGGCATGTTCCCTAATTCCTGTGAGCCTCAGTTTCTCACCTAGAAAATGCAAATAATAAGGGCATCTGCTCCTCAGAGAGTTGAAGTGAGGGTTTAGTGGGCATTATTTAAAGAAATGAGTATTGTGGGCGGCGCCGATGGCTCAGTGGATAGGGCACAGGCCCCATATACCGAAGGTAGCAGGTTCGAACCTGGTCCCAGCCAAACTGTAATAAAAAATAGCCAGGCGTTGTGGTGGGTGCCTATAGTCCAGCTACTTGGGAGGCTGAGGCAAGAGAATCACCTAAGCCTAGGAGCTGGAGGTTGCTGTGAGCTGTGATGCTACCAAGGGTGATAAAGTGAGACTCTCTAAAAAAAAAAAAAAAGAAAGAAATGAGTATTGCAATCCTGCTTGGTGAAATATTACTTGGGTTTATCCTTACTTATTGTTTTAAGAGCTTTATTGAGATATAACTTACAGATTGTATACTTCATTCATTTAAAGGAGATCAAAGGAGTCAAGGAGTTTTAGCTTAGTTATATAGAGTTGTGTGACCATCACCACAGGCAATTCCAGAGCAGATTCTACTGTTCCTCATTCCACTGTTTCCTCACGCAACCAAGTCCTCCACTGAAATAGCCCATATCTGAGTCCACCACTAACCTATTCTGGACATTTCATGTAAGTGGACTTAGTCAGTATGTGGCCTTTAGTGTCTGGCTTCTCTCACTATAATACATTTTTAAAAACCCACCTTATTGAGGTGTGACTGACATATAAAAAGCTGTACATCATTAATGTCTACATCTCCATGACTTTTGGGATAAGCATATACCCGTGAGTATAATCTGCATTTTCAAGGTTCATCCATATTTTAGCACGTATGGGTCCTTTACTGCTTTTTATGGCCAAATAATATCTCATTGTATATGAACATATCACATTTTCTTTATTCACTCATCAGTTGATGGACATTTAAGTTGTTTTCAGTTTGGGGCTATTTATGCATAAGTTTTTGTATGAACATATTCTCTGCTGTGAATAGTGGTGGTTATTTGATGGGGTGAAGCAGATTCTACTTTAAATCTTTTTTTTTGTAGAGACAGAGTCTCACTTTATCTATCGCCCTCAATAGAGTGCCATGGTGTCACACAGCTCACAGCAACCTCCATCTCCTGGGTTTAGGAGATTCTCTTGCCCCAGCTCCCGAGTAGCTGGGACTACAGGCACCCACCACAATGCCTGACTATTTTTTTGTTGCAGTTTGGCCAGGGCCGGGTTTGAAACTGCCATCCTCATTATATGGGGCTGGCATCCTACCCACTGAGCCACAGGCACCGTCCTCTCTTTTAAAGACTCATACATAGCACTTACCAAACTCCAGATTGAGTCAAATGCCATTCTGAGTCCATTGAAATGTTGACTCATATACTCTTCACCACTGCCCCACACAATGAACTCTGCAGAAAGGGTCATCCATGGCCTCAAAGCAAACATGTGGCGGTTGGGGGGGGGGCACTTATATTCAGGAAGTGTAGCTCCAGAATTTACATTTCCAACCACAAGTTTGGCTGTTCCTCAGAGCCAGACTGAGGGTCTGAAGTTACTGATGTGGCATCAGGACTGAGT